ACAATCTGCCTTTGCATATTACGGCGCATTTAGGGACCGGGCCTAGCATCTTACAAGTATTAGTCTTAAGGCAGGTCCAGCGCTTGGGGAGTTTTAAAATAGTTTGTCTCGATGATGCCTACCTGGTGATGATTCCAACTTTACAACGTCTTGGTTCATAGGGTTATGGCTAAAGCTAAGATGTAAAAGTCGCATCGTTCAAGATGTACGTGGCTTATGGGGCTAAAACAAATTATTTTTTAAAAGCAGCTTTCTACCCATTTGTTGTTCGAGGAGAAGTGAAATTATAGAGCATCTTCGGCAGGCCTAACTGCTGTAAGGGAATGTTCGGTAATGAACCACATACAATGATCATTCGTGAATCATTGTTGCAGCTACTTTGCAATTCATTCCACATTCCTCCAACTTAACAAAGCCAGACTGCTGACATCGGACTAACTTAACTGTTTATTGGGGATGCAGTTGCATCCCCAACATTTCAGACAATTAGGATTAGACTACGGTCTTACATGGAAAGAATCTACTCCGAAATGGTATTTCCATCCCCAACATTTCCTGAGAACATTCGCTCCTGGCTGGCGGATAGGGTGATAGGGCCTGCAGACCGTTTTACGTCACACTTGCCAGACAGAGAGCTTTGAAAGGCATGATAACAACCGAGATACAAGCCAGCTCGGGATCGTTCTGCCGTGAATGCCGTCTGCCCTGTGTTTCACAGGTACAGTTTACTCTGATGCGTGCTTGCTGCTTTAGATATCGTTTCGACATTGATTCCGAATTTTGGGTATCCTGGTTAAGCATCCAAGGCCTCTTGAATTTCCAAGCTTTCAAATTTCATGGCTTGTTTAGGACGCCATCACCTTGGACACTCCGGAACGTCTCTGGACGGTTTATTTCTTACAGTCTTGCTGGATTATTTCGAAGGCGCTTCTATCTCCAAGGCACTATTTCGTTTCCACTCGTCATTTGTGTTTTGTGGGGGAGGGGACACTCGGGACAGAATGAGGTTTTGGTGGTCTCTTGAGTATCCAAGCCTATCTAGGACTGTAATTTAGTCGATCTGCTCGGATATGCACGGCTCAAGGCACCTAGACGATCAAGACGACATTTGACAACAGCCAGCGTCATGTTTGCTGCATCGCCAATCTCGCAGACAACAAGACATAGACGTAGACAACAAGGTGCTCGGTTACTCTGTGACTTGTCCCGAGTCACACGGTAGTAGCGTATCTGTAGACATATGCTGCGACATCGGCGTTAGCGGCGTCAGTGGCCGCAATTGAGGTGCGACAAACGAAAGCATGACAATAACCCCGACGTGAGGCAAATCTGACTCGGCATTTCGAAGACTTTTCAGCTGACTGTTCAGAAGGCGTTGAGACCACGTGAAAAAACGTTTTAAAGTTTGACATAAAGTTTATTCTGTATCAATTTTTGATGATCATTTTGTAGAAGCATTCGTATACCCCGGCGGCAGCTGTCTGCCCGCTTCCCCTCTTTCCGGCTACGGTGTTTCTAGCCTGGCCAGGCTCGAAACATTTTGTAGACAAAATTGGTAAATTTGGAATGACAGACGCATAGGATGATTGGGGCCGGTATGACAAAAATGTTAACATTTTTGGTGGATATGGACCATGGTAACTGCGCTGCACGCCTGTGCAGTGCTTATTGCCCAGTTTCTCCCCATTCAGGTCGCAGCTCGTTGAAGTGAACGATGATACGTAATGTTGTGCTTTCGGAAGAGGCGGTAACAGCCACTTCCCGATCGCTTTCTAACGCACGTGATGGGTGCGCACGGGTGATGTTGACATCGCGTGTTGTTTTAGACGGAGTCGCCGGCACCACGCATTTATTGTTTCGTCTGTACCCGGTCGGGTTGCCAAGTTCTGATTTCAATCCCTGAAGCGTTGAGAGGCGGTCGGTTGCACTCGAGCACGCGTCACCGACTTTACGCATCGGTAGACAATTTCCCAGTGTATCTGCCCGCTGTCCACTCCGACACATGGTGTTTGATCTCGTGTTGGTGTGACCACAGGCTGCCGGGGCTGGATCCTCTTCGACTCGTGCTGTTCTCGTGTGCAGTTGCAGACGTTTATCCTTCCCGTGCCTTCGGGGTTGGGGACAATACTTTGTCTGCTTTGCGATGTTGCAAAAAGCCACGACTGATGAAGGAACTTGAATTCAAACGTGGCTCAGCTTTTAAAGAAGTTTGCTTCTTATTTCCGAGAACTGCGTGAAACCTCAGTGAGTAATTGTGAAAGTCATTACCTTCTGACATCGTGATGTCCGGGTCGAGCCGGACCGTCCGGCATGAAAATATTGTTATCACTCAATTGGGACGACTCGGTACACAACCTTCCTGTAACCTAGTCTACAGGTGTAAGCGTTACATTTGTTCCACATCTGAAGGCTGTAGAGTTGCACTTGGTGCATGCAAGCACCAAATATGATGAGCTAACGCCCATTTAAAAGTAGGTAAACCTTAAGTAGAAAAGGCTGCTCCAGACAACACAACTTTTCTGTTTAGTACTGTATGCATGTATTTAGTACTGCACTGTATAGTGCTGTACTGTACTGTTCTGTTTAGCATTTTCTCGGCCTTGATCGCCGCATGGCCAATGGAATGCCAGGATTTGAATGACGTTTTTATGGCGTCATAGGTGCCTGGGTTACCTTGAAGTAGTTTCCCCGAAAAAGTCTGCACATATTCGTGGGCGTGTAGCTCAGAAGCTAGAGGGGCTTAGATTTTAAGAAGAGCAAGGCTGTAAACTATACCGAATGATCTTCAAAATGGCTATTTTAGTTCAAAATCCCATACAACTGTGGACCGCTCCCTTTAACACCAGAGATCCTCAAGCCCGCCACAGAGAGGCAATGGTTGCACTGCTCTTTATTGATTTTGATTCGAAATACTACCTTTTCCGCCCAATTTTTATGTGGTCTAAAAATGTTCAGGATGAAAAAGTTGCCGTTGGATCAATATCTTTAAATTCAATATAATGCGACCTTGGAGGGATGCGTCGTTTGCCGGTCTCCAAGCAGCTGACTGCTGAATGTCTGGGCCTCATTCAGGTACCTAGTTCTCCGGGGTCATCCTCGGGATGTGAACTCCTTTGCTCTGTCCAGGCGGAGTCGATTGTAGCGTCTTCTCTGTGAAGGTGCCCCCAAAACGGATAAATAATCGGAGCCCCGGAGCATGGATGAGTTCGAGGGGTGCCCACTGGTTCCGTTCAAATCTTCCTTCCAGCCATGACATCACCCCCCCCCCCCCTCCCCCTCGGCCGCCACGTGTCGCGCCGCGTTCGGTGTCACCCGCCCCTCCCCGCGGCCGCCACGTGTCGCGCCGCGTTCGGTGTCACCCGCCCCTCCCCGCGGCCGCCACGTGTCGCGCCGCGGTCGGTGTCACCCGCCCCTCCCCTCGGCCGCCACGTGCCGCGCCGCGGTCGGTGTCACCCGCCCCTCCCCTCGGCCGCCACGTGTCGCGCCGCGGTCGGTGTCACCCGCCCCTCCCCGCGGCCGCCACGTGTCGCGCCGCGGTCGGTGTCACCCGCCCCTCCCCGCGCCGTCCCCGGGGTGACAATCAGCCGGTCTCGCCGCCCGGTTGGCAGTGCGGCCCGGCCGGCCCGCCCACCGGTCCGTATTGACCCACCATCACTTATGCATGCGGCCAAATGAGATAGGAGCGGCGGCGGCGCGCGCGTACACAATGGGCCGCGTCAGTGGCGTGGGCAGTGTCGCCGGCCGTCCGCCAGGTCGGCGCGTGACCGATCGCCCCGGGCAACAGCCGCGGCGGCCGCGGCCGGGCGCACGCTGCGCCGACTCGGCGGACGGTCCGCCGCCGCCGCCGCCGCCGCCGCCGCCGCCGCCGCCGCCCTGAGGGTGACCTCGGCACGGGCGCCGGCGGTGCGGTCATACACAGTGCAACGCTGAGAGCTCATTTGGGCGAATTTACACTAACGAAGCAATTTATTTTCTGCGCTGCGTAGTTACACAGCGCCGAATGAGTATCCGAGGACGTACACCCACCCGTAGGCGAGGTGTTGTTTATTCTATTTCCGCAGGCAGCGCGCTAGCTTGTATTCGCATTGCCGTGAGCAGCGTGCTGACGCGATTGTGAACGGCAGAGTGTCATCCCGTGGATTGCGGCAGGGTTTGCGCAGCTTGCGCCAGCAGAGGCGGCCGGCGCGCGCGGTCGCGGTGTCGACGGTTCCGCTGACGGTGCAGTGTCGCTGGGCCGCTCCTCTCCGCTCTCGTGTTCCGCCGCGCTCACGAGCGGACACCGAACACTTCCGCCCCGATCGCCCGCTCGGAGGCCCGGCGACAGCGACAGCCGTCGCCACTTAGCAACGCGATACCATAGGTCGGGCCGCATCGGAGATGGTTCTGACTGTGGGGCGGCGTGAACTTCCTCGTGAGCAACCTGTGCCGGCTGTGGCTCTCACTTAGGCGACGAGTATTTCCTGATGAACAGCCAGTGCTCGCTAGTTAACGAGAGAGGCCCGAACGAACAGCTTTCGTTCGGTGGGTTAGTATTGCTAATGGACATTATTATTTTCTGTAAAACCTGACGTTACAAAATACTGCATTTGGTTAAAACGTCCACTAAAACACGAACGGGGTTTCGTGCGATGCAACTGTGCGCACAGCTACACCTGTGGGGCGCGAAGTCTGGTCCTATGGCATCACCGGCTGTCGGTTCACCCGACCTGCTCGAGGGGCAGGTCTATAGCATCGCCCTCCTTGGTCATTGTCCGGAGCTGGACCGGTCCGTGGTCTCATCACCTCTCTATTTTGACCCGTAGACCTGAACCGGGAGTCCAATCACGCGGTCGCCCCTGCTGTCCATTCTGTTCCACAGATCTGACCTAGAAGTCCAATCACATGGTCTCACCAGCCGTCTGTTCTGCTGCACAGATCTGGCCTAGGAGCCCAGTCGCACAGTCTTGCCAGCTGCCCGTTCTGTTCGCATGGTCTCACCAGCTGCCTACGCTGCTCCACAGATTTGGACCGTGAGTCCAGCCCCGGAGCGTCGTCCCCGGACGGCGCGTCCGACAAGGAGGTGGACGACAGCGTGGAAATAATGACAGACCACCAGGTAACTGTCGACGGGGACGGGGCCATAGCTTGGGCTTCACCTGATGTTGCGCTGCTTCGAATGCACCACTGGAGTGTGGACGACCTTCGCACGAAAGCGGATCTTTGCGATGGGCTTATCAATTATTGATGGTTTTAAGTCTGGTCTGCGCCTAACGGCACTTGTTCTCATTTCACCTCGCGTGACCTCACTGACCCTGTCTGGCTCGCCCCAGACGAGCGGCCTTGGGGGGAACAAGGCACGCCGGCGGCGAACCGCCTTCACCTCCGAGCAGCTGCTCGAGCTGGAGAAGGAGTTCCACAGCAAGAAGTACCTCAGTCTGACGGAGCGGTCGCAGATCGCGCACACGCTCAAGCTGTCCGAGGTCCAGGTGGGTCAGGTCACGTGATGGCGTGGTCGGTGGTGATGCTGGGGGGGGGGGGGGGGGCAGCGGGTTATGCTGTGAGAGGAGCCCGACTCGTCTGCTCGGGTGGAGGACAAGGACGAAAGCACGGGGCATTTTGGGCATCTTGGGCATCGCTGGGCATTTCACGGACAGGTGCTGACCATTCACTTGTGCCTCTGCTCCATGAACGTGCAAAGTTCAGATTACCGTAGATCAAGCCCGCATCTGCCGTGGTGTCCTATGTTCCGCACAAAGCGGCGGATGCAGCAGTCGAGCGACTGACACCTCCACCACGCCCGCCGCAGGTGAAGATCTGGTTCCAGAACCGGCGGGCCAAGTGGAAGCGCGTGAAGGCTGGCCTGACCACCTCCAACCGGTCGGGCGGCCCCGGCGGCCCGGGCGGCGGCGGCACCAAGATCGTCGTCCCCATACCGGTGCACGTCAACAGGTGTGGGCTGACACCGTCCCGGGCTCCGGCCCCGGGCGCGCTCGTTTGGGGCGTCATCGCAGAGAAGATCCATTTTTAGGGATATTCTTTCGGGCTTTATGGTATGCCAGGTCATTTACAGACTTTACTTTATGGTTTAATCAATGGTTGGCAACAGTGACAATCAAACATGCAGTTGTGGGAGTGTTGTGTTACACGCCGGTGCGTTTACCCGGAAATAGAAGGAATGGCCTGAGTGCATCGGCGAGGAGGTGTGGTCCATCTGGCCTCGCTTCCCGAGCGACTACTGGCTCTTGACCACCCTTCCTACCTCGGCGGCAGGTTCGCCGTGCGCAGTCAGCACCAGCAGCTGGAGAAGTCGGGCCAACTGGTGGGTCAGCTGCCGCCGTCGCAGCCGCTGCCGCCGCTGCACGGCCTCGCCGCCTCCAACCACCTGTCGACGGGGCTGGCCGGCTTCCACGGTCTCGGGCCGGTGATGACCTCGCTCGGCCAGCATTGACCTGGCCTCTGCCAACGCCCGACCGGCGGCCGGCCCGCCGCAGCGGCCTCTGGCACTGGTGAGGTGATGGTGACGTTTGCTCCACCGCCGGACGAGAGAGGGCTGCGCCCTGCTGCGAGACAGCAGAGTCAGTCGCACGACACGATGCCGCACCTGTGACGTGGCAGCTGCTGCGGCCGTCGGCGTGCCTGGAAACAGTGCGGCGGGGGGCTGTGAAGCGGCGCTTCAAGTGCGCAGGGCCGCGGAGGTGCGGCTATCCGGCAGCGTTGAACCAGGTCTGCGTCGCGCAATAGACTGTTGTGCGGCGCGTGCCCAGTGGGCGTCAAATCGCTCCTGAGACGAAGTGACAAAAGGGGTGGACGATGGCGCAACAACGGAGCGCTCACTGACTCGGAGCAATGGGGGCGGAGTTGTGGTGATCTGTGCCCCGGACGGATCCGTGTCTCGAGTACCGGGTCCTCGTGTACCAAGTCTCTGAGATGGGGAAAGGGTCAGAGCGCGTGTCGACCTTTCACCTGTAGCGCCCACGGCTGGTGATGGCAAGTTCCTAGCCTGAGCTCCGGGCGGGAAGCGGAGGACAGAGGACCTGTTGTTAATCGCCGAGAGACAACCCTGACCTGTGAACCGAGTGCAATCTGAATCGACGCGCACCGCCGGGGCGCTTGTGCCCGGCGATGCCGAGGGTGCAGTAGAGATTGTCCACTTTATGCGGATCTTGTGGACCGCGCGAGTCCTGGTCCCGGGTAGAATTACCGGAATGTTGCTGTGTAGTGAACAACTATGAGCTTTGGTTATGATTACATATATGTGTCCGGGAATACACTGTGTTGTTAGAACGTGACTTTTTAAGAACCCATGCTTTCCCAGTCTACTAAAATATATGCGTCGAGAGACACGCGACGAGGGAGATCTGTCTCAGGCTTGGGCTGAAACATTTCCGTCTATCGTTGCAAGATCGCAGCTGACGTGGGTAGAACACACGGCATGGCAGGTGTGACAGCAACCGCACTAACGTTCGTTGAGATTGTCCTTCTTTCAACGTTTCACCATTGAAAGCTGCTCATTCCGGTAGCCGTGCCGCGTCGACTTTTGTCGGCGCTCTCCATCTCCGGGAGCCAGTCGCCTGTTTGGAGACAGGTACCGTGCGCGTAAGGGCACCGGCTATAGGAGACAGGTATCGTGCGCGTAAGGGCACCGGCTACAGCGACGGCATGTGCGCATGCAGGGTGAATCCAATAATCAGGTACTGGACGCCGAACAAAGATTCAGGAAACGCTTGACCTGCTGCTTCCAGGGAGATCATGAATTTCACATCGCGAGCCAACTTTCGCGTTCGCCGCCAGAACAAGCTCTTGCCTCTTTCTCGACGTTACTGGATGAACCGTCCGGCAGAAGCCCACCCCAAAACGACCCGCTCGCGAAATCCCTGGCGTCCGAGCCACGCAGTCACGGAAGCGGTCGGTCGCGGACCACAATTGGCTCCTTTGTGGTACTTGGCGACACTTAGATCCACCCCGGGTAAAGTTAGCGATCGTTTGCGTCACGCCTGCGCTTGTCAGCGGAGACGCTCAGCCCTCGCGCCCGAGCGGAGCCATCAGCGGCGGGCCGTGCTCGATGCGATTTCGGACCGGGGTGCCACGGATGAGGAGTTCCAGACAAATATCTCGCGACCACAAAGGGATGTCGGGCCGGGAGCGGCCGACGGCTTGACGCCGGAGCTCGTCATGCGGCTCATTGTCGTTTTCTCGGGGGTAACACGATGTTAAAAGATGTCCGGCAGTGTGCGTTGCTGTATTACGCACGGCTTCAAGCATCACGCAATAGCCCTTTGTGTCGGCCACTTGATTATCCATTTTATAATCCTGCATTTGGTATAGTTGGACTAGAGTCCTTTCGGCCAGCAACAACCATTATAAGGCTATGGAATACGGGAGAGTCGAGAGTGGTGGGTCAACACCGCAAGCGCCTGGGATTCCTCCACTTCCCAGAATTAGATCCACACAGATAATCTTCTTTGGCGATTCTGCGGTTGCTCTGGCAGAGCTCCCGCCAGGGAGGCACTTGTTCTTAAGCCCGCTCATGGCTGATGCATGCAGCTCGCCTCAGATAATGCGACCGTTGCGGAATGAAGGGTGAGCGGTGAATGAGCAAGGAAAAGCGTGTGCAAAGTCCTTCGCTTTTCGGAAGCGTGACCTGGTTTGGTGTCACCGCCAGAGTGATAGGTGGCCTGTTCCGCTCTGAAAGTCAGGTCGTGATAAGACCATTACCGCCAGCCGTTTCACTTTTGCCATCTGACCCAGATGACTCCCACTTCTCAGTGACGGCGAATGACATCGGTAGTGCTGTGAGAAAAAATGGATATATTCTAGGTCGAGGCACTGCTCCAGCGAAAATGGTAACGTACCTGGGATTTGGCCTGAAAGTATCCCTATCGTCGCCGTCTCTCGCAGCATCTTGCGCTTCAACAGCATGCATTGATCAAGCACACGGCTCACCGCTTCCTTCCACCTTCCACACGACTCAACGCTGTTAACGTCCGGCCCAACAGCGGAAGACAGGCATGCATGACACAGCGACATAGAATACGCCCCAGACTGGCGAGTATCAGAGGCCCTTAACTCAGTTCTTCCATGCATGGCATGCCTGGTGCTTAATTTTACCAGTGCGAGGGCTCGTGTCCACTTAAATCCTCTTCCCGTAGCGCCATAATTCCCGAAAGTTATGGGTAAAAGAGCTCCCACTTTTTAGATTTGGAATACTCGCATGTACCCGCACCTAAATTGAAAAACCCGCTCCGCCTCGCAGAGCAAGTTCGATGAGAAGCACGCACGTGCCAGCCAACCAGCGCATCGGAGACGCAAAGTAGTCAACCTGCCAAGCAGTCCATCTCACGAAGTTTACACGTACTTTTTCACACGTCCCTGTTCCTGCGAACAGGAATAGAAACTTTCCAATTGCACAGGCAGAGGCAGTCAGGCAGTTCCAATGCTCCTGTGTGAGGGTACAAGTGTGAAAAAAGACAGAAAAACTGCGTACATGTGCATTAATTTAAACTACCTGTTAACCTATATACTTTTTGTCTTGGCCAACACTCGAAACCTTGTATTTCACACCAGATATGTATACCTCTCCTTATCGTAACATGAGGGCCAAAACAAAAAACTACAAATATACTAACGTTGACATCTTGATTCCCTCCTTTTTTAAACAAAATAACGCTGTGTGACGTTCACGTATTCTGCTTTTACAAGGTTTGCAGTCCTGGGTCGTTTTGGAGAGGCTGCGCGGGACCCACGGTATGCAGTCCTGGGTCGTTTTGGAGAGGCTGCGCGGGACCCACGGTATGCAGTCCTGGGTCGTTTTGGAGAGCCTGCGCGGGACCCACGGTATGCAGTCCTGGGTCGTTTTGGAGAGGCTGCGCGGGACTGGAGAGGCTGCGCGGGACTGGAGAGGCTGCGCGGGACTGGAGAGGCTGCGCGGGACTGGAGAGGCTGCGCGGGACTGGAGAGGCTGCGCGGGACTGGAGAGGCTGCGCGGGACTGGAGAGCCTGCGCGGGACTGGAGAGCCTGCGCGGGACTGGAGAGCCTGCGCGGGACTGGAGAGCCTGCGCGGGACTGGAGAGGCTGCGCGGGACCCACGGTATGCAGTCCTGTTGGTCACAAATACGAAATCCTGTTCACCCAGATCACAATTTTCCTGATCGTTCAGAAGGCTTTTCAAAAGAAGCCAACAATCCAGACCTCGTTGATAATGTAAATATAACTTACTTCCTCCAGCCGGTGTTCATACGCATAAAACATGCCCGCGTTTACATGGACCTGTGCTCATGCGGTTGCTTCTCATTCCAATGTATAAGGAGGCATGCATATATATTTTGAAGAAAATTCAGCCATCCAAGGTCTAAGGGAAGAAGGCGCCTTTGAATGTCCAGTAGCCAACATAACAAGAAAACAGGGACGTACACACCGAAAAACAGATAGCCAAACACATCAATGTATGTCATGGAAGGAATGTCAAGAGCATTGTGTTTGACCAGTAGGTGCCGCGGTGGCAATCTTTCAATTACACGGGCAGAGGCGGGCAGCCAGTAGGCGGGAGTTCCTCAGCGATGTCGTTAAAGTGGTCCTTGGATCTGCAGCAAAGCTCCTTGAACAGCTGACGACATCGACCAAACTTGCCGACCTCCGGGCTCCGATTTCGTTCTTGGATGCGTTTGTATGCGTTGAAACTTTGAAGTCATTGAAGGGATTGTCTGAAATCGGCGATTTTCCTCGTGGATTGGTACCAAAACAGTGTATGCACAGAGCAGATGAGTTGTAAGCAGTACAATTTGCAAATGAGGTTTGAGCGTCGAAAGACTCGATGGGTCGTTAGGTGTTGTGGATCTGACGAGCGCCTTTGGGATTCCAATGCAGGACCACGCCTGCAGATCGATTCAGGCGTTAAGAGGTGTTTGTTATTTGAATGCATCCTATGCGGCTACATGCAATCAGATGTACATACACACCAGCCATTGCGTGCCCTTATGAGATCAATGCGTTTTATAAGTGGCATGGAGCATTCAAAGGTGTAGTTGGCAAATTAGCTGGGAGTGAACTGAACAAGGACGAACGGCAAGACCTGCCCGTAAGAAACGAAGGTGGAATTTTCCCTATATCCGACCCACTTCTCACAGCCTAGTGACTGTAGCCCTCAACTGAATACGGTGGTAAACTAAGCAAGCAAATGAATTTGCAAGGTACCCAACACACGCTGAAAGCTCCGCTGGCTTTTGAAGCCCCCGCGTGGTGTGCCTGCGGGCTCAGCAGTGACAGATGCAGTGGGTAAACCCCATACGTGCAGAGCCGACCTCTCACGTGCTGCTCAGGGGCCGACCCAGACGGGACTCACTGCTCGTCCCTCCTGTACCCACTGAGCCCGAGAAAAGGCCGACGCTCCATTCGGAAGCCGCCAGCTCCCGTCCCTCTCAGCTGCAACTATGCCTCGTTGGATGTGTTAATCCCACTCGGGGACCCAGCAGCTCCAGATGAGCCGGACGCCGTGCGTCCCGCGCCGCGATCGCCGCGCCGCGCCGCGCCGCCGTCGCCGCCGGTCGCCGTTCGGTAAGCTGACCTGGCTGGCCGTCGCCGCCGCCTCCCGTGTCGGGGCGCCGGCTCCAGTCGCCACATCACAGCCGCCGCCCCGGAAGGTACCGGCCGACCCCGCCGAGCCGAGGTGATTCAGCGCCGGGGCGGGATCGCGGCCGGCGCCCGCCACGCGGCGGCCCGGCACGCCGCTGTCAGGTACGCCACCCGCCCGGCCGGTCGGCGGGGAAGAGATACCGGGCGCGCGCCGTCAGAGCAGCGGCAGATCAATGGATGCCTTTGGGACAGGCAAAATTCAGACAAATTCAAAGCGCTGACCGAACCGTGGATGCACTGGTCACTTAGGAAAATCATATTTGTCATTTACCTTGCATTTTATGCGCATGTCGCTTTACGCACGAAGAAAGTAGCTCCAAAGCAGTTTGTGAAAATCCGTTCGGCATTCGTTCCACTCTTGTGTTCCAATATACGACAAAAATTCCAAACACGAGGTGAACGTGACGCTGTGGCCGGAAATGACCGCCTACACCTTGCTGCTGTGCGGAGGTAGAACCTCTCACGCGGCAAATGTCAACCCATGTCGGCACCTGGTATTTCACCACTTTCGGCGGCACGCAAGGGTACCATATAATACCACCGGTTCCATACGTGATTCTATTCAGAGCAAAGCGTGACAAAACGGAAACGGATATATAGCCCATTAGATGGCTTACAACTTCTGCGCTGGTCATTTTTCGTAACTTTTTTAAGT